TGAGGTCAAAAGTATGTAAAACTGAAGAGGTGCCAGAAAGGCAGGGCATGAGAGGAGTAAATGACTGACAGAAGGAGAAAGATAGCTGGGGAGAGGCTGGGATCTAGTTAAGACTGTTAGAGTCCCCCGAAGAACACTCTATGAAGTGCCAAGGAAGAAATTGTTCATGACTTTACTGGAGCCCCTAATGCTCACTGGTCAATGTCCTCAGGGGAAGAAACACAGCTATCAGGGACATGGGTTTGACCTCACATTATGGCTCCTGGAAAAAAAGGCTGTCTTCAGTTCCTGTATCTGAATACACGTTGTTAAAGGACCATGATACTTTAAATCTAACTATACTTTCCTTCATGACAGCCAGCTCCACAGAAATCTATTTCTTGCCAAAATAATATATCTGGAGTTTCCTGGTATTACACGCATTTAACTCTTCTGCAAGGCTCCTACTTATTGCATAACTTTTCTTTGAGCACCTAGAGAGGAACGTCTGAGTACTTAAATAGTAACTGAGCACTATGATACATTAAATACTTACTAACACTATTAGTATAAACCTCTTTTTCTTGTAACCTGTTTTAAGCCCTCTGCTCCAGGTTTGAGACACTGTAGAATACTGTTTGTGCATATGACACTGTTTGGGTTTCTTCATCTGCTTTGAGTCTCTTGATTATCCCTGTTCTAAACCAATAAGCATTTCATTTCACCATCCCAAGAACATCATTCTTGCTTTTAAAAAGAACCCAAACCAACAAAACCCAAAAAAACATAGCCCCTGAAAAGCTGGAAATCCCATACATTCTGCATCATCAGACAGCCAATAACCCTCCCAGTGTTTATACACTCCTGCTCTGGATTCAGTCCTTCACACTCTTTGCATATCAGGTGAGGTGTCTGCAGGAGGCCTTTCCTCCAACCCAGGTTTGTTCAACATCAAATTTCACCTAAGACATCTAGAACACTTGACACCTCCAGCTGTTTACCCAAGATAAAAATTCATACTGACTCCATACCCATTCCTGTTATCCTACTTTTGTCTCTATTTTTATTTGTTTGCTTCAGTGGATTTGTCTCACTTAGAAGAAATGAGCTAACAAGGTAAACATGGACTTCAAAATAATGCCAGTAAGATTTTAGACTTTGAAAGCATTTCCCATATTTGCTTACTTTTAATACAAAACATCCCACAAATGGAATAGGTACAAATACAGAAAAGAATTTCAGCAGAAAACACTCTTAGAAACTTAACAGCAAATGTCTAGGTTTACAGTAAAACTTGCTTTTATGTTTTCAGCATCTTTAAAAACTTTCTTGCAGCCTGTTCTGTTACCGTTGCTCACATCAGTTATCTTAATATGAATATTTAAGAAGTGTCACAGGAAATTATGGGCATGGGATTCAAATAAGATTTCCTGCCTGTTAATCACCATGGAGTGACACCTTCCTGATACTGTCTGCTAGAGCAGAGAGGCAACTTGTCTTTTGGAAGTTACATTGAAAGGGAATAGTATGGGATAACAGTGGTATTTGATGTTTATTGCAGTATAAATTGGTAGAACTTCTTAACAAGAGGAAAAAAAAAAAGACACCTATGCATACTCCCCCACCTTCAGCAATATTAGACATGCTTAAAAAAAAAAAGGATAGAAAAGGAGAAGTGGACATTACATTATCTAAAGCAAAGGTTTCAAACCATTATGAAGAACACTGGGAATAGGAGAAATTAGAAGATTAAAATAAATGGTGTTCGTATTTCAGTATTTGAAAGGAATGACAGAAACATGGATACAGAGTTCAGCTTTCTAAAAAGACAAATTGTGAAAAACAAAGTTGTATTTCAGTTTTTTAAAAATGTGCATTTGAGTATATGTGGTTGCACATGAGTTAGTACTGTACACTTTGCAAAATTTTGCAGACAGGCAATTTTGAGAATTGCTTATGAACATTTCTATTAAAGACCTACAAAAAAATGACAGCTTTACATATTTCATAAAATGCTTCGTACTCTAAAATTCAAGAGCCATATTAAAACTTCATAACTTCTAGCTGAAAAATGAGTAGCGGAAGCACAATAACATTTACCCAAAAAGGAAACTAAAAACCAGTCCATAAACCACCATTTCCTATGACAGACAAATTCCTAAGAGAAGGGATCACCCCCACTCCTTATCTTAAACCTCAGCAGAACTCATATTCTCAAGTTTAACATGAAAAAGAAATCTTTCATTTTATAATGCTTTATCATTAGTTCCAAGATATTACAACTAAACACTAATTGTTAGATTTCTCAATTGACTTTCACTAGTCTGATAATAAATTTATCAAAACAACCTAATTATTATAAGACAATACATTTCAGTCTCTCTTTAGTTATGTGACTATGAAGTGACTACAAAGCCAAAACAACTCCACAAGAACTAACCAGCTAAACCTAAAACTTGTCTCTTGCTATACTGATTATATTAAAACAATTCAGCCTAAATGTTTTTGTGATATTGTATACCACACAAAGATCGCAACTGCCTACTTAACTAACTTTTTGATATGAAAGCACTTCAAATTCTAGCAGCATTCAGAGATAAGAATTTAGTGATTTTTACCAATTTTTCTACCTTTGACTGGGAATTATTGAAAAGAACTTATACTGTAGCTCCAAAGTCTATCACAGAACATGAAGAATTTGACCAAAAAAAGGGTCACTTTTCTTTAGGCCCAACCACATTAATACCATCGTGAGCTGCAGTTTTCTGAAGTATTGTGCAAAACAACTACTGTGCTAAAAATATGTTGTTACTCAAACTTGAGATATTCTCTCCAGAGATAGGACTTCCTGATAGGAGATTCAAATTAATAGGAAGTGCCCTTCCTGTGTTTTCTAGACTGCTAAACTAATGAGTTTGTTTTCAACAGCCTTTAAAGAAAAGGAGCAGATTAACCAATTGATCGGTGTTCACTGCTTTAATATGAAGTGACCTTGTATACAAAGTGTAATACACTGCAATCTTCTCTATTCTGGTATGATGCTGTAGCAAGTTTAACTTACTCTGTATTTCCAAAGGAATTTATAGAGGAATTGCCTTGAGACCCTGTCAGTTGGTAAATTCTACTTTACTCTGCATGTAGCCCTATTAGAAGCTGATGGGAATGCCTGTGAAGCAGCTAAGCACAAAGATAGACTTCCACTTTCAGCAAAGTTACTTTATACAGAGAAAGCGAACAGCTCTGGCCATGTGTATACACCTATGTCAAACCTAACTGACTCACTCCAATTATATAAAAACACTATATAAATTCAGTACTCTTAACTTAAACAATAACTGCAGAAGATATACTCTGTAGTGTAATACAAGGGAAAAAAAAAATCCCAATTTACAATTAGGAAATTAGGACTTCCAGATATTAAAGCCAAGTGACAGTCAATACCAATTTTGAAGGAAAAACAATTGTACTTTACAGTCAACTAGATTTTCAGGTCATTTTGCACACAGCAAAAGCATGGAGTCAAAAGGCTGAAATACACATACAAATGTAGTTTTCTTTTTAATACTATTTACATATTTTACTTTGATTCATGAGGGATGAGGGGAAACTAGACAGTTCCAGCATACAGTCAGACTAGGAAGTTCAATAGTCTCTTCTGCCAATTAGGACAAGTTTTCCAATCTTTTTCATGTGCACAAAACCTCCCATCCACAATTAAGGAAGGTTAAGAATATGGATTTTCACAGACAAGATCCTCCAGACTTCCCACTGCTTAAACCCAGGCTCCTTCAAGACTCTCGTTATAGCTATATTTATGTCACCAAAGTGCTGACCATCTGCAATGCCTTTGACAGATGCAAGTGGAGAAACTAATCTACTTTAACCTGACAATAAGTTTTATTATTATTTAAATTATTATTTTAATTAGATGCCTTTACAGCAGCTCAATTCTAATTAAACTTCATGTATGTAGACACAAAATATTTTCATTTTAACACAAGTTAATTTCATCCTGTCTTCCCCAGTTAATGGAAGTTTACTTCTTTATTTTAAATATCCCTGCTCAAAATAATAATAAAAGAGCTTTTGAATAATTAATCAGAGAAAGTATTATTTTTATCCAGGATTACTAAATTATCATTAAATACTCTTTCACAAGATTGAAAGAAAGGTGAGTCCTCCACTTGTGAGACACCTTAAACTCTCCGCCTGACAAAGTTGTTGATAATGGTTGAACAGTAAAAATCAGAACAAGTTCTCAGGAACTATCAAACAAAGTTGTATCACTCCCATGACAAAAAGTGGGACATACAGCCATGTAATCATGTGCCTTACAACATATTCCATTGACTATTAAGCATTTCATTCTCCTTCATGGAATGAAAAAAATACTTCACTTAACTTTCTTTTAAAATGTAAATATATTTTTTAAATATTGGAAAGAAGTCAGGCTAGTCAGAGATGAAAATTCCAAACATTTCAAATGTATTTTGTCCTTTTAAATTTCAATAACAGCAATCTCAAAAGAATCTAATTGTTTTAGTGTCTTGATTCAAAAATTTTATTTCAAAGTATGTTCACACCCAAACAGATAATCCCTGTCTGTTTTTCTAGCAAGTTGATTTTTATCCATGTGTAATGTTAACAGCAAACCTTAAGCAGTAATCTTCTGCTACAGATAAGGGAAATGGCTTAACTGTGCTCTGGCCAGAACATGGCCTGGGAGGAGAAGACAAGGGCTAACTAAAGTCACAGTCAAACAGCAGACTGCCATTAAACCTCTGCCCTGAGACAAACTGCTCAGGCATCTTGTTAAGAGCAGCTCTCTTGTTAAAAGCAGTATCTCTGTGCAGTCAAAGTAGCAAAAAGGGCAGAGAACTAAAGGCAGGAATGGAATAAGCCCTTTTCTTCTGAGCTTTGAGTATAATTTGTGTGACAAGTAATTTTTTTGAGACCTTCACTATATTTCATAAAATAGAAAGAGGAAAAACTTCAGATACAGAAATAATCAAAAATCTCACCTTGTTATGTTCATACTTGTATGGGATTTTGAGGGTATCCATGGCTCTGATCATGGCCTGCATTGCTGTAAATATATTCTGGTACACCAGTTTTGTAAAACCCCTTTTGTCTTCATCAGAGTAACCTGATCCATGAATGATTCTCATCTGCTTGATAAACGTGCTTTTGCCACTCTCTCCTGTGCCTGCAAGACAAATAAGAAGTATACGCTTTAGCCACTGGACACAAACATGACTTTTTTTGCACAATGCTGACAGCTTGTTTACTGCAGGGCTGAACAATGTCAAGTGGTGCTTGCAAAGTAACTACAAGATTCAGTTCAGTGTCAAACAGTAGCATCAGTAGCAACTGAGGTACCACTGAATTAAAACATGCATTTTGATTTAAGAGTCAGACTAATGAGTAAAACAAGTCTCCAAAATATACATATAATATATGACTGCATATTTTAACATCTTCCATTCTTGAAGATATAATAATCCAAAACATCTAACTTCAGCTAATTACTGTAAGACATTTCAGTGCAAAAATTCAGGACAGAAGGAAAAAATTTATCTCCCTTGGCCAACTTTCAGGACATTATGGTAGGCAGTGTGCAACAAATAGATGTTTGTATTTTGGTTTGAGGTCTTGGTTTGCTGGGGTTTGTTTTGTTTTGTTTTTAAAAAAAGCAAGTAGCATAACAATGACAGTTCAGAAAACTTCAAGCTCAGAAACATGCGATATCAGTGTTAATTGAAATTTACCTCATATTCATTAACAGGCAGTCTTTCCTTTCTTTAAATTTCTTCGCATCTTTGTACTAAGTGTAGTTTGTTAATGAACACTTCTGACTATTTGTCAATTAAAAGTTAAGATCTGCTTGCTGGAAATTTCCCATGGGATACATCACACAACGTTTTTCCTTTGCTCCAATTCAGTGAGCTCACACTCTGTGACTGTAAGAGTTTATGTATATTATTCCTGTGTTTGCTTAAGAGGAGGAGTTGAAATTTAGAATGAGCAGTTGCACAGTCACATAAACCCCGTGTTCAGACAGCTACTCACTCCTGCAGGAAACAAACTGCGTGCACCGGGGTGCACTGCTCAGTGCTGTGCTTCTCAGCTTTACTACAGCCTGGGTTTTATTTTAATAAAGTTTTCATGACTCGTGTCCCAGGACAAAGGCAGCCTTATGTCTCTTACACAGTATTTTAGGTGTCTTGTCAGAGAAGTGTGTTTCACAGCGGTGCAGTGCAAGGCTAAAGGAGCAACTCATAAGCTTTTCTGAGATAACATATGCTGCAGAAATCTAAACTGTAAGCTTTCGCCTTTACCATAAGCATCATTTTGAAATCTTCAGTCCCATACAAACAAACAACACAAGTCTTCCTTACACACATGCCCAGAAAATCAAGCATGATGTTATATACTGACCAATTTTACCTCCTCTGGCAAGAAAGTGGTTATTATTGTAATGAAGAACATGCTCTGAAGCTGAAGTGGGACAAGCCTGCTTCCACCCTCAGCCTGCACTATGGTCAGGAGCACAGCACTACATGCACAGACCATCTCTGCAGGGCACTACCTGGCCATCAAGCAGAACTTGTCCCCACAACCTGATGAATTCATGTTAACCAGGCCCAAGTCTTTGCAGAAAGGGTGATGTGGTATAGGCCATCTGGTGTCAATGATACCTGCCTGTCTCCAAGTTCATCAGAAACGAAGGCGAGATCTTTACACTTCTGAAATCTACCAGTGGGGAAAAAACATTACTTTCCTTAAGATGGTATAAAATTACAAACCTAGACAATACAGAACTATTTCATGGTAAAAAATATTCTAGGCTACCCCTAAGATGACCAGAGTTTTTTTCTCTCTTTCTGAAACCTATGAAACAGAGTCATGTCCTTATATATAACATGAAATAAAGTACCATACCACACACTTCTAGTAATTCTGTAATACTGTCCAGCCTTTCTGCAAGGCATGTCACATCTAGTACAAAAATCCGTTCGACATGAACCTGTAAAGCCCAGAATGGTATATAAGATGCCTTTTTGACACAATTAACTCTTTGACTAAAGATTCTGCTTTAAGTAATGCATAAGAAAATAATTTCCACCACACATCTCTGAATCACTGCAATACAAAGTGAATTCCAGTTTTGATCCTGACACTTCCCTACATGGGAATTCAGATTGCTTCAGTATCCTGAAATTCAAATTTGGCAGAGATAGGAAGAACATGCTTGTATTATCTACTCTGTTTTAAAACACGAAGCTTCTAATTCTTTTTTTATTGGGAGTGTAGGTAGCAATCGATACCACACACAGAAAACCATGATGGTAAAGCAATCTGCATCATGTTAGAAAAGACAGTATTTCTGATTACTTACACCTTGAAAGTAAGCCTACAAAAACTGAAATACAAAACAGAATTACAATTCAAAGCAGAATCTAAAACTTATTCAGCTTTGTGGCTCTGTAATTGGGTGTCACTAGACAAAGACTCTGTCAGACAAATACCAGTAACAGATTATACTTGGAGATCTAAAGATACACACACACAATGCATTTTTATATATTTTTGTATACACATCTACATGAAATATGTATATTATATATATATGTAAACATTTTTCATATGTATCTGAAAAATATATTCTGTATATACACATAAAATATGCATAACTACCTATACATATATGAAAATTATAGCACTCTCTCCTTTTGAAGGCCATCTCCAAGTTTGCTCAGGTCTTTGTCTCCCCAGGTCAATGTTTAAAACTACCTTCTTGTGCCTGCCCACAGACTAATTTTCTGGTTAAGCCAGCAGCAATGATGAAAACATTTCTAGTCCTCCTTAACCACAGAGAGTGTCACATGTGTGCAAAGTGTGAAAAGTATCCTGGTGAAAACCATGGAAAATTTCCAGCACAGAATGCATGAAAATGGGATAAAGGAATATGAATGACAGATGATAATAAAATCTACAGGACTGCCCAAAAATTACTAAGAAGTGAAAACGTTCCTTTTCAGCACAATATATAGGAACTCACAAGAAGTCCATATTGGTAGTTCCTCTTGGTTTGTTGCAATCAAAGGCAGAAGGTAAGTATTTTTATTGACAAAAGCATACAAAGAAAATTTCAATTACAGCTTTTTTCTTTTTAACAGTGGCATTGAATCTTTCTGTAGAAACAAGTCCTGTTTATGTGAAAACTGCTTGACAGTGATAGAACACCATTTATAAGTGTGTCACTAGAGATTTGCTCAGATACTTCTTCACTAAGTAAAATAACTGGAACAAAGAAGCAATGTTATTTACTGTCAGAGAAACAGGGAAAATTTTGGCATAATGAATTACCAGCGTTAACTAAACAAAGCTACAATCATTACAGCCTTACTCCTGGTAGGGAGTGGCATTTTAAACTATCACTGTTACAGCACTGAAGCAAACCTAGATTTTATTATTTTTACATATTTTTTGACTTTTAAAATCTTATGACTGGAATTATAAGAAAATCAAGATGTTGACTGATACACCACCAGCTCTGTTTTCTACAGCCTCATCCATTACAGAACAAGTTAAGAAATACAACTTGGCAATATGTGCCTAAAATCTTACCTATCATCATAATAAACAAGAACACATCTGGTGAGAAGAAGAAAACTTGAAAGTGAATAAAAAAAAAAAAAATCTACATGTCCTGAGAGGATATGAATGCCTTATGGTTTCTGCTAACCGCAGCTTTTACCACCATCATCCCAGGAATACCTCTAGCTGATATAAGGAGACCACAAAGGTGAAATAGCAAGAGAGTGGATTAGCAGAATAGACCAATGTGGGATAAAACTATACTGAGATCAATTTTCTGCTGGTTGCCACTGCACATTTAAATTAGTCAAAACTTGGATCAGTTCTCTGAAGCCAGATGAGTCATATATTCTTGCTGTCTGAAGACAGTTGAAGGTCACACAACATACCTTAATAACACCACCACACTCTCTCTTTATCTTTCAAAAACAGTGTCTTTTCAAAAGAAACCAAGATCCTAATATAACCCTGAGGTGGTAGCTTGGAGAGAAGTCAAGGGTGTGACTAAAAAAAAAAATTCCTTATTCAAGAACACAGTCCAGTTGGTCATTTGACTTCTTCAAAATTTCTTTCCAGATAAAAGAACAATCCAACTGATGAATGAGAAGAATTGTGAAGACCTTATAGCAGCCTTCCAGCACTTAAAGGGGGATACAGGAAAGCTGGGGAGGGACTCTTTATCAGGGAGTGTAGTGACAAGATGAAGGGTAGCAGTCTTAAACTGAAAGAGGATAGATTTAGATTCGATATAAGAAAGAAAATCTTTACTGTGATGGTGGTGACACTGGCAGAGGTTGCCCAGAGCAGCTGTGGCTGCCCCCTCCCTGGCAGTGTTCAAGGCCAGGCTGGACGGGGCTTTGAGCAACCTGGTCTAGTGGAAGGTCCAGGGGAGGTGGAACTAGAAGATCTTTAAGGTCCCATCCAATCTTCTATGATTCTATGAATTAACTGTCTTCTAAAAGCAATAAAGTGTCTCAAATAGTGGTGAACTCTCATTCAAGTGTGGCATAGAGGATTGTCAAAACTTGTAAGAGCTTACATCTTACAACCCAGCAAAGCTCGGAAAAGCTCCTCAAAATTTTATTCTTCAAAAGGTAATAGCAACAAATATTACTGCATCATCAAGAATTTTACAACCAGATATCTGAAAGTTCCCCCAGCAGCATTATCTCCAAAAGCAGAACAAGGAAGGAAGGAAGGTTACTTAAATACAGCAGTAGCCTCTTACATGCATGCCTGCACACACATACATATCATGTACAATTTATTATTACTATTACTCCTGGTGCACATTCTGAATAAGCAAAACTACAATAGGTTGAAATAAAACATTCTTTGCCCTGTGAAACTTACAGAAAAAAAAAAAAACATGGTTAATTTTCAATAGGTGACAATGCAGCTACTGGCAGAGTGGTTTCAAAATTCACATTGTTGCTGACAAGGAAGACAAACACTAATTTAAAAAGTAATATAAGACTAAAAGCCTAGGCTAACAAACTTTTCTTTCACATGGGTGTGCAATGCGTACCTGTACTTGTTTTCACACTTCATGCACTGTAACTTAAATAAATCTGAAGGATAATACCTTCAATGATAAAATACAAGGCTGTTTTTAAACTAAAACAACAAAGTTGCCATTCTCTAAGTAAAATCCACACTGGCATCTGTTAAGAAAAGAAATGTTGCTAAACTATACCTGACTGTTTATTCCTAAGTTTGATGTATGAAAAGGCAAGGAAAAAAAAAAGGCTATATGTTATTGTTTGAAAGCTCATAGAAAGGACATTCTTAACATGCATTTTAAAGAAAACCCAACATCAAAACCCACTTCCATGTTAGTCACTATCCACATACATTTACTAAGAACTGTTAAAACAACAGTGTGTACATTTGCAGAAGACTGGCTTTTAGCTTGGAACTTGGTGGCAGAAAGAAGCCCAGAGGAACCTGGAAAGCGAAGATTCATGCATGGGTCAGAGTGGACTCAACACCCTGTGCAGACTGGGCACAGCCTGACACTTCTATCTGCTGACCATTTTCCTATTTACAGATTACAGTATCTATACTGTTTCATCATTTACCCAGAAAAAGCAGTCTGTTGTACACTGCCTCATAGACTTAAAACAAGTGCAGAAATCAAATTCATTGGGTATTAAGTAGCAGAGTAATTCCTATAAGGAATAAGAGCTAAAACAGTAATAGTAATAAAGAGGTGACACACAAGAAGAAAAATATTTGATTTCAACTGTAAAGTTGTATTTCACTTGGAAGAGAGTTTTACATCCTCTCTGCTACTACCACTTCAGCTACAGAGAAAACAGAAAATATGGTTTCTTTTGTTGCTGTTCTAGTCGTGGAATGCAGCAGGATCACATTTCTGCTGAAAGAGAGTATGGCCCTATATGAAAACATAAAAACTGTGCAATATTCAGGCCTTGGACTGGTATGGCTTTGTAGGTGCCAAAATATCCCAAACCTATTACAGAATGCATGAGATCATCCTGGGAGCTGAAGCAAAGGAGACAGTCTGTCCTACCCCTCAGAACAGCAGCTTTCAGGCTTGCTGTTGAAGGCCAGCATAGGGAAGGAACATCGGGCTGGTAGAATCTACAGCAAAACTCCCTGAGGTGGATCTGAAGCTCCTCAGTTCACTCCATAACACGTCTGTTACTCTAGTTCTGCTCCAGAACTAGACATATCTCATCACCATCAAAAGAAGGCTAGTGAAACAAGCAGGCTCCTAAACAAACAGCTCTGTCCATCTGACAGGGCTGAGCACCTACATGACAGGTTCCTCCTTATCCTGATGTCTTATAAATGGATTCTTATCTCTACATACCTGACCATCGCTTCTCAACAGTGGCCACAACTTGTGAGTCATCCATCAACTTCAAGCTGGCAAAGCTATTGCCTAGCTCTCCTTTCTGAGAACTCCTAGTACTCTATGCAACCTTTCCTCCATTGCTTAAAACATATTATCTTCATAACATATTTTATTTCTGTATCATACCTCTTGAAAGATGCTTAAGTAGTAACCCATACCTCCAACCATTTCATACAATGATAGATTAACTTCTAGAAGTGACCATTTTCATCCTGAACATAAAAACTGAGGTATAACACAAAAGAATTTAAATGACAATTCACCCATGAGCAGAATTTCTGTGAGAAAATACTATGAGCCCTGATAATGAATATAGTAGGCATATTTCTATATTCCATAAGATGAACAGTAGTACTGTAGTATCTTCCTTCTGTGATTACCAAACTCCTTAATTACCATTAATAGATTACACCTCACAAGAGTCACTTTATGTTAGGAAACATTTTTTATGATGTTTCAGTTAGACTAATGGAAAACACTATTGAACAGGAAAACATATGAAGTTTCAAGCAAGGCAACAAAACAAGCCAGAAAGGGAGTTCAGGTCTCCTGACATTGGTTCCTACACCAACAGCACACTATTTTTTATTTACGTTAAAAACTGAACGGATAAACTACGAAAAGCAAAGGTAGGAGAACTCAAGTGATGGCCTTTAAGATTTTAAAAAAGCACAGGTTTAAATTAAGAGTAATTAACATTAAAAAAAATGGGGAGAGATGTACATGCTGTTCATTGCCAAGTCTGCTCCACTGACAGAATCTCTAATTTAAAATTACATAATCATTGTATTAATTATTTTGTTCACAATCCACATTTGCATATTCCACTCGTTTACAAAAAAGGAAGCATGTAATCATTTTGCCATTCACTAAATTACCTCTTCTGTATCATTTTAGTAATTTATAAACATTTAGTTAAGATTACTATCAATATTCTATGAAAGAAAACAAAGTATTATTTCATGAATGACTCATGTAACAACAAAGAGCTTGGCAAGATTAAAGATTTCTTGCAAAGAAAGGATGGGTAGAATTTTATGAATATAGCTCGGAAAGTGGAGAATTACATTGAGTAAGTGATGTGAACCATCTACATCAATCTAGAGTGAGTTATTTATAGTCTTGAATGTCCTAAATATTTATGAAAAACTAAACAAATGTTACAAAATACTACTAAAGCTGTTGCATCTTCTCCTTACCTAGACTATAAAAATGGTATCAAATCATCAAATCATCTTAAGTATGATTTTTTTTCCCTATCACTGATTATTATACGAGTAAATATTGTACTAATGAACTGCAGAGATGAGTATAGGAGCCGAGTTCTCTCACTTCCTTAAAAAAGGGAAAGAAACACCCCCATTATGTAGACAGTCTGAACGCTTTCTAAAGCAGAGAAATCCTCTTATGAATTTAAATCTGGTTGTGTTTGAGCACACTTTGCTTGTCACTCCAGTGCAGCCGCTAAACTCAAAGAAATAAAACTAATACTCATCCTCATTGTACCAGTGACACAAATACAACAGTCCAGTTGACTACTACAATAAAGCCTAAGAAAGATATTGAATTGCTGACAACTGCGAAGATAGAATTGAAATTTAAAATTCAGCTGACATCCTGCAACTTCTTAAATGAATATTAATTCAAACTTTTTACTGAAACAGAACATCTCAAGCTCCTTTACAAGAAATCCAGTTAATCAAATATAGCTTTGTCAGATAATGAAAACTACACTGTACTACTGTGCAGCCAGGCACAACCTGTAACTGGAAGTCAGTGTCTTCCTCCCTCCGCCTTCAATTCTGAAAAAAAATCCCCACAACCAAAACCCAAACCAAACTAAAACACATGCTCCCCCCCTCTACCCTCACCAAACCCCCACCCAACAAAGCAGCAGAACCTCCTTATCTTTTCAATCTATAATCACAATTTTCACAATTCTCGAGCTAACATCTTATGGTTTGGGTGTAATTCTGAGGCAAGAAAGCAAGAGGAGAGATAAACTGGCTGCCTTCACAGAGGCAAAGTAACTTTGTAAATGGGTTAAGAGGAGGACAGGACCACACCCTGTGTGCCCTTCTCCCTCCTCTTGAAACAATCCCTCTAAAAATTTAGGGACTTCCTGAAGAGAAATAACTCTTAACTGTCTCTGCTTATCTTTCCATGTTACATGGTTTTTAACAGCTTTAACGAATTCTGCCTAAACAGCTCATCTGTGCAGAAAAAAAAGTGCCACAAATTAAATTTCACCCTCAAAAATATATTTTTTTGTGCTACTCACAAATCCTGACAAGCAAACTGTTGAAAATCAGACTGTTGCATGCTGTTCTTCCATGGAAAAACTAAGAACAAAATGAGAAGTAATCACCAGCATTAGTGAGAGACAGTACAATGCAAATTCTTACCTCCCTTGCACAGAGGAAAGGTCAAATATGTCTTTAGAAACTTATGTGCAATTATTCAAATGGGTTATTTATTACCCACATCTGAGGGCAGAATATAGTGTTGGAAAGCAGACTCACTTAAGTAGACTCCAAACGTGTCAGAAATGATCACTGTTCCCAAAGACGCTTGGTTTTCACCCAAGTGACAAGCCTGATACAAAAGTCAAGGCAGATAAACCCTTCTCTTCACCCCACCTTTTGTTTTCTCTTATTATTTTAATATATATCTTCTCTGACGAGATCAACATCATATACAACTGCAAGGCAACATGTATATTTTTTTTGTAAGCTATTTATTAATATAAAATGGTGGTAATATGCTGACCACCATTCCTGTGAAAACTAACAACTATTATTTGTATAAAGACTGAGAGTGGGGTTAAACATCTTATATTTCTTTTATATTTTACCTACGGTCCTTCACTTTTGCACATAAATTGGACTGAAAATGCTAGGGGCTCCCATATAAAACTACATGTCCTGCAGGTCTCCAGGAGCTGAATTTCAGCATGAGACCTCAGTTTTCCACATAGCAGGATGAGGCTTGAGTTAGCTTTAAACTTTATTAAGGAAGATAGTTATATAAAATATAGGCTAAAAGGAAGTAGTCTTGTCATTAAGTAAGTCTATATAATAAAAGGTTTTAAAAATAAAGTTGGGAAAAAAAAAAACAAGTTTAAAAAAAGTTTACGGGTTGGTTAATGTTCACTTACTATCTCAAATATGATTTTCTTAAATGTGGGGAGAGAAAGAGAACATCATTGATTGACTTAAAGCTTATTATAAAACAGTGTTACCAAAGCATCAAGATGATTTGATGGTAAATAATTTAGATACTGTTAATGTATTATAAAAATTTGTAATTACATATTTTAATAGTATTGAATTTTCTGGTGTTACATACATTTGTAAAATGAAATAACAGCATCTACTCTTCAAGTTGATGTTCCAGAAGGCTTTGAGTACTTCATATGAGGAAGTTGATTGTTTAAATTCCTTTCAAGTCTCTTTCATTTTCTGTTACTCAGAGGGATTATGAGCAGACAGACATGAATTCCAATTCCTAGCAACTCAGAGACACCATTTCATGGACAGTATAAACCACTTTTCTTCCATTAATCAACTGCAATGACAAGTACTGTTAGCATTCAGAATTGTACTATTTTTCCTTTATTTTTACCACAGAAGGGAATAAGATAACTTTAGTACTTTAAAAAATACCTGCATCTTTATAAAAAGTGATCTTCATTTCTAAGATAAGCAACAGGGTTTTTTATTAGGTCCCCCCAGCCACAGGTGAACATTATTCTACCTGAAAGAAATTGCCATTGTCATAACCAGAAAAGAAGAATCTGGATCTCTTAACATCTCCTATTACCAAACATAGTTATCAGGTACAAGAACATATCCTGCTGAAAATAGCTGTATCTACCATGCACACAAAGCCTTATATTTTGCATGTTCTGCTTTCATGAGGTATAGTTAGAATTTCTGTGATAAATTTTCTAACATGTCTTAAAGAAGTGCTGCAATACCCAGAGATATACCTGATGTGCATTTGTGTCCTTCAGAAATGCTCATTAAAAATGTTATGTAATTTGTTAATTTTTAGCAGTATGTTAACAACAACTAACTGCCAAAGCATTAAAACATACTTTTCAAACTTTTTTTTTTTTTTAAAGTATTTAGCCTATTTTATACTTGTGAGCTCTATGTTGAGAGCCTGACAAACTTTTGACCTACCATTCATTAAAGAAGGGCTCCATCCAGGAGCTGAAATGATACAGCAACGTATTTTGTTTCTTAGAATGTGAAACTACTTCAGAATCAATTGCTTTGCTGTATCAAAATCAGTATAAATGTATCTTTGCTAAAATAAATAGGAATAGTAGCCCTTCTGTTATGATGCAATATTTGTCAGACAGTATCTATGATATTACTAATTTACATTAAAGACTAAAAACAGCAAGTGCTTCTTAGCTTTTTTGTACGCTTTTTTGCTGAAAAATGGTTGGCCACCGCTTCCAGAAAAGACATTCACTAAAATTCTTTAGCCTAGATATCATGGAGCACTCCTTCTCTGGGCAAAAAGCCAAATGAACAAAAAATTACTTTGGTTTTCAACCTTCTTACATGTCCTTCATTCATGCCAAAGAAAGAATATTTTTTATATGGATTTAGATGATTAAAAAGTAAAAAAGAAAAGCAGATCATGATAGTTCTTTTAACAGATTAAGAGTTACAAATATTTTTTCCATTAAGCTATTTGAGGTCTCACTGTTAGGTTACGTACTCCTGAGGAAATTAATTACTCAAACTGTCCCCTCAGCCTCTTCTGCTCATTCTTTTTTGTTCATGCTTCAGAGTGCTCTACATCCTCTGTACTAGTAGGATAACATGACAGCTGTTTCTGAACATGTAATCAGACAAGACTCAACTTACAAGTATTATTATTATCAAACTTACATTGGAAACATAAAGGAACTAAGTATCAAATATCAGTATGTGGACACCTGTCA